AATTCTGTAATCTGGAAATATTTCAGCCAGATTAATTAAAATTTAACCTCACTTAAGGCATGTATAAATAAGATACAGGCAATAGTTCAATGAAGAGGTATTGTTTTCTTGAGATTTTTTTTTTTAAATCCTCAACTGGAGAGAGAGAGAAACATCAATCAGTACCTTCCCTATGTGCCCTGACCAGGGATCGAACCTGCAACTTAGGTATGTGCCCTGACCAGAACCTGTGACCTTTTGGTGTACAGGATAATGCTCCAGCCAACTGAGCCACTATGGCCAGGGCCTAAAGAGGTATTTGAAGTGAGTTTTTGCAACACTGAAACTCAAACCTCATATGCAAACCATTGATATGTGGAGAAAATGTGGAAATGAATAGTTTACAGTGGCCAAAAATAAGCCTAGGAAATAAAATCATCACTATAAAATTGCTTCAAAAACAATAAAGCACTATATACTTGTAAAATGAAAAATATTGCCAAGTATGCTGAGTTCCTGCCACCAGAAGTAATTTGATCTCAGCACAGCAGAATTATGTAATTGTCATTATATTTACCTGCTAGTTTAGGTTTTCTATTACATTAGTAGAAATTGTTGTGAGTCCTTACTAAAGTGCTCTAACCATGTACTTTCTTTCCCCCAGACATCCGCGTAATATCTATTTGTTTCATTATATCTTCAAAAATTTGTGCATAATCTACAAGCTATTAGAACAAGTTTAGGAAGTGTTACCACATACAGATGAAAATAAAAGGAATGTACTTTCTGATAAATTAAAAACTCTGTCAGAAGAAGCATGGTCCATAATCTTACGGCAATATAGTTTGTGAGCTGCGATTTTAGAAAGTTATTCTCTAAGTTTTTTGAATATTTCATTCCCTTTTGTGATAGTTCAAATAGAATCTGAGAAGTAGAGAGACTAGAATAAGAGGATGAGAGACTGAAAGAGGAGGAACCATATGGGAATGAAGTGCAAAGCCAAGAGAGAAGACAATTTATGTGACTTGTTATTCTTGATGTTTCCTTATTTCCAAGAACAAGTAACAAGTTCTGAGTTTTAATTTCAAAACTGGGATCCTGATATCTGTTTTTATAAGCTGTCACAGCAACACAACAATACCTAACTTTTTAAGAAAGAGAATAGTTTGATTTTCAGAGAGAGAGGAAGAGAAAGAGAAATATTGATGTGAGAGGGGGACATCAATAGACTGACTCCTGCATGCCCCTCCTAGGGATTGAGTTCACAACCTGGGCACGCACCCTGACCTGGAATCAAACCAGCAACCTTTTGGTGCACAGACGGTGTCCAACGAACTGAGTCACACCAGCGAGGGCAATGACACTTAACGTTTACTGAGCACTTACATGTGTCAGGTACGGTTTTAAATGTTTTACATGCATTAACTCAATTAATCACAATAACCCAATGACATGGGTATGATTACTATTCCTATTTTATGGAGGAAGGAGAGGCTAAGTATCTTGCCCAAAGTCACAGAACTAGGAAGCGATGAAATTCAGATTTGAATCATAAAGCTTTGCCTTAGTAGTTCACTGCAGTGGTTCTCCAACTACATTCTGCAGAATCTTTTGGCTCCAGAATTCTACTTTCAAAATACTTTGTCCATTCAAAAAAATCACAGGAAATCCCAGCAGGTGTGGCTCAGTGGTTGAGCGTTGATATATGTACCAGGAGGTCACATGCCAGAGTTGTGAGCTCCATCCCCAGTGGGGGGTATGCAGGAGGCAGCTGATCAATGATTCTCTCATCATTGATGCTTATCTCTCCCCCTCCCCCTTCCGCTCTGAAATCAACAATAAAGCCCTAACCGGTTTAGCTCAGTGGATAGAACATCGGCCTGCGGACTGAAGGGTCCCAGGTTCACTTCTGGTCAAGGGCATGTAGTGTGGTTGCGGGCACATCCCCAGCGCGGGGTGTGCAGGAGGCAGCTGATTGATGTTTCTCTCTCATTGATGTTTCTAACTCTCTATCCCTCTCTCTTCCTCTCTGTAAAAAATCAATAAAATATATTAAAAAAAAACACAAAACAATAAAAAACACAAAAACTTCAATACTGTATGTAATGCACCAAAGGGAACCAATACAACTTTTTGCTGCAAAGTTAAGTCATTTTTGTGCAGATCTTAGAATAAAGTTAGTCCTGTCACTTCTCAGGTCTCACTTGAACTTCCTGTAAATGTTTCATGGATTTGGAAGGTGTAACTCTGAACCGATTTTTTTTTTTTAAATATGGAATGCTTCACGAATTTGCGTGTCATCCTTGCGCAGGGGCCATGCTAATCTTCTCTGTATCGTTCCAATTATAGTATATGTGCTGCCGAAGCGAGCACGATTTTTTTTTTTTTTTAATTCAAGCCTACCTCTGCTTGCTCAGGTCAAAGGAGCACACAAACTCAATCAAACACCAGGTAAAGTTCAGGTACATCTTATCGCAGTGCAAGAGCAAAGGAGTGAACAAATGCACATATCCCATTTATTTTAAGTTCTGGGAGCTTATTGTCTGACATAGTTAAGAAATATGGGTTGTTTAAGATTTTGAAAAATTTCTTCTGTCCCTATCTCCTATTATTCATTCCTCTTTCTAGCTACAGAACATGGTATTCTGAGATGGCAAGGAAAACTGTTAGAAAAAAAATCATCTCTTTTACCCCACTTCGGCCACATTCTCACTGTCACGCCCTGGACCATGTGTCCACAATCTCCTGCCCTTCCACTTAGCTGTATTGACCATTCCCAGTCAGGTCTTTGATTCCACTGGGTCCACTCTTCCACATACTGTTTGCTATTCATTGACCAATCCACTCTCTTTCCTTTATTCACTTTTATTTACTCTTTACCCAGCGAGAGTCCATGAGCCAGCATGATAATGATATTCTGACCAACACCCTGACTACCTCTGCTGCACTGTCATTTTCTTCCAGGTAGCTGGCAAGCCCCAACCCTGAATGAAGCCTTCTGTTGGCTGGCACCGCACACTGGTCCCCAAGTAGCTGAGCACTCCTGGAGAAGGTCGCCGGGCAGATGCGCTATCACACCGTATGGCCACCGCCTTCTCTGAGGCTTCCACATGCTAGCAATCCTACCATGTCACCGGACGGATGGCGCGCTCCCTTGCCAAGTATTCACTTATCTCCAACATTTCAGCTTACTTCAAACCTTGGACTTCTGTTCCTCCCATCTCCATAGCAACTCACAGCAGAAGACTTAGCCTACTAACCTGAAGGAGCTGCACTCATCCTCTTGAGCGTAACAGCGGGGCTACATACCCTTTCCCAGTGCTCTGAATGCTGCCCGTTTCCACCTTCTCAGCAATGTTATGCTGTTACTTACCTTTCTTCTCTTGTACAGATAACAGTTCCCTTTCAACTATCTAGCTTTCTCAGTGGATTATTTAGTCTATTTTATACTTTGGAATTCCACCTGAAATTTCTTTGCGAGGAGGATCTCTTCTGCTAAAACAGTGAAACTTCTTTGCCCTTAAAAACATAAAGCTCCAAAGAAAGTCCCATAAAAGGAGTCCTGCATATATAATTAGGGCAACAACAAGAACAGGTCATGAACTGATGTCACACAGATAACTGTGCAAACTAGTAATCCTGATGTTGCCAACATTTTCAGAAATAAAACTCATAGTTTCACCAAATTTTAAACCACTGCGATATTTTATATGCTTTAGAATTTTTTACAAATTGACGTATAACAATGGGTATGTTTAAGGTGTACAATGTGTTGATTTCATACATTTATCTACTGCAATAGGATCGCCACCTATCATTAGCTAACACCTCGATCACCTTACATAATAGATAGTATACTTTACAATTAAGAGCTGTGCTAAAACTGTATAGGCAAGAAGGGGAGCAGAGTGTTATCTTAATAACCAGTAAGTCTGACAGCATGATTTTATGTTACTAGGTCTAGAAGACGGAGAGAAGGGTGGGTGGAGAAAGCAACAAATGTCCCAGCTACATCCTTTTTTAAGAACTAAAAATATTGCAGGATAAACAGAGAACCGTAAGTAATACTTAACAAGTAGTTTGACAGCATAGTGACACATTTTTAAGACCAATTACTCACGGAAGGCACCTGACATTCCTAACCCCCAATATTCCCTTCGCCTGCCAGGAGCAAGCAGCTGGAAACCGCGCGGGCAGGCACCTGCGACATCCCTTTCAGAAGGTGCCGCCTCGGTCCGCAGGCACCGCCGCTGCGCCGAGCTGCCTGCCACTCGGGTGTATCGTATTATTTAACTCGGTGATGCTATTAAGATCTCTAAAGCGCTTCTGCGATGCGCTGAAATGAAAGATGCTCCATAAAATGAAGTTTATTAATAGTAGGCTTATAGCTCCCGGGCCTAAAATAAAGCCAAATTATAACCACAGAGACCTCAAAGGGAAAATCGGGAGCCACAAACATCGCCGCCGCTGCCAAGGGGGCCGGGGCTGGGCGGCAAGCGGAG